TTGAGGTCTCCCGAGCAGGAAGGAGAGCTGTTGCTGTGGGGAACAGCCTGGATTCAAGGGAGCGGATCAGGCAGCTCCTGTGCTGCTCTGCAGGTCACTCATTATCCCTGTAACACGTTGCGAGGACGGAGCAGGAGAACAGAGGTGGCCCCCTCGGCCACCCACTGCTGCATCCTGTCTGCTCGGGGGGCAAAAGCACCCAGGGGTGCTCTGGTTTTCCTGCCGGGCTCAACATCTATACGTGTCCCTGGGGACACAACAGCAAGCAGTTATTTTACACGACCGGCATATTTCCCATCTAGTTGGAAGACCTGCCTTAGTAGAGCTAGGCTACCGAGCTCTACTAGTTCTGCAGGATTTTAAAATAAATATTTTTATAAGGGTTCATTTCCCACATCTCCTCGAGCAGGTTGCAATAGAAATGCTCTATTTCTACTGCACGGGCAGGATAGGAAGCACCAAATCCCTACAGTCATTATTTCACAGCGTGCACTGACAGGCTGTGAACATGGAAACGGGGTGACTGCTGGGTCCAGGTGCCACATTGATCTGCAGCCTTGCACTGGGAACGGCCCCGAAGCTCCAGGCCTCAGCAGCTCCCCGTAATCTGCAGCTGCAACCACGGCAGTGCATTAAGCTGAGCCCTTGGCCCAGGTTTTTTAATGCATACAAGCTGCCCTCTTGCTAGGATCTTGATGGGACCTTTCACTCTAATCCTCTCTCAAAGACTCTGGATTTCACCTAAGTTGTAGTGAAATGTGGCCTCTTCCTATGCGGGTGATTCGTGACTCTCCTATTGCTTGAAACACACTTTGGTCATCCTACTAACATGCCTCATGGTCTCACTGCCACAGTAATCTGGCTTAACCATTTCAACCAGAACAAAAACGTGCATTTCTTCCATAAAATTGGATGTGCTCACAGACTAGATGGGGGGATGTTTAGCTTCATTTCAAATGTTACTCAAAACAAAACACCAGACTTGCTCATTTGGACCACCTACGGGACTAACCATCTGCCTCCTTGTCATTTGCTTGTATATGCTCTTGTGGCTTAAGAGCAACACTACTATCAGCACAATGTTGCAGTATCATTTTGGCTCTTTTTTTCCCCCTCCCCTTTCCCTTTGGTTTCTGTCTAGTGTTTATCAGCCTGTTCCAATAAGCTGATAAAAGTACAGATGGTTTAAGGATGCTTTTCCTCTGATCTTTCCTTTTTTTTTTTTTTTATGTCTATTCTTATTTTAAATAACTCCTTCCCAGGCATCAGCATTTGGCAGCGGGCTGGGAACTGCTGACTAAGGGCCATGCTGCAGAATGGAGTCAACAGTCCGAGCGAGAGCAGGACGGCAGGGAGGGCAGCGAGCACAGGGCTTTGCCCACAAAACACTATTTTGAGAGCAGCTAGGGAAGACCACAACAGACCTGGCTTTCCTGGGCTCAGCATGTGCCTCTCACCCGTCGGAGTCTCTCTTGGCTTCCCCTTCGCCCTTGCAGGGCTGTAATCGTGCTGTGGCAACCAGGCCTTCCTAATTCTCTGTTCTTCTCCAGGTAGGTCACTCTGCTTCACCCAGCCCAGCCTGGACTGCTGTGGATTTTTTTTCATCCTCTCTTTACGCTTGTTCCTAGGGCTGCTTTAGTGGCTGCTTAAACAGGTGTTCTAGCTATTAAAGGCAATTTTTTAATTTCAAATGTGTTAGTCACAACTTCGTCTTGAAAGCCCAAGTAAGGCAAAATTCACATTTGCCAAATCTGAAGTATTTTACTGCAGTCACAATATAGATACTTCTGAGACAGCAACAATTAGGTTTCACTATATGGTGCAGTAATGCGTATTTAAATGCCCTCATATATGTAAAGCCTCTTTCTCCTCCCAGTAATCCTCCAACTATTACTTTCTATGTACAGGAATAAATTCGTCGAGTTCTGAAATGCTGCTCTTTCTGAGGTAAAATACAACATGCTAYAGTTGTATTTATCTCTTTTGTGAAAGGACACGAAGAAATATCTATTTGATGCAACACGGCGGAGTGACATTGCACAGGCAGAGCATAATTCTCCTTTCTGCGGAATATAAAGCCTCTGGATTTCAGCAGCAAGTGAATAGAGCTGTCTTTTCTTGTTTCACTCAGAAAATTCCAGTTCCACCACAGAGAATATGTTGAATTGTCTAATAAGTAATTGCTTTACTAATAAATTCAGGGAATGGCACCGTTTATGTAGTCATCCTTACCCCAGGCACCACCTATTCTTTGGAGGATTTCCCCGAGGTAGGTTCAGCCCCACAAACTTTTGTCATTATGGAGAAAGAGCCCAGATGATTTCTTACGACTCACAGGCCATAAAATAGTTTGTTGTTGTATTTCTACATTCACACTTTCCACTCCTAACAGTACTGAAATCATTGTAAATAAATCATTGAATGAAAAGCTTGGTCATCTCCACAGGAGTCTCTGGCTGCCTTTTCACTTCCTGCATCCCAAAGCTCTAGGCTCAACTTCCAGCTTGACCACAACGTTTTCTTCAGGATCAATTAGTGTCTCAATCTCATCTGGTATTAACAAACTCAGTGGGGAGTAGTAAGCAGCTGCCCATGGCCACTTTTATGCAAAACTAAATTAAGATGATGATTGAGCGTGGTAGAAAGACTGGTAAAACTGTAAGTAGAAGAAAACTGCTAATACCAGGAAAGGGCACAAAGCAGAGGCTGAACAGAGGAAGAGAAGACTGGGAGAAAAAGTACAGAAGGAGTTGGAGTTATAACAAAACAGACAAAGCATTACTAAGAATTTCTACCTCAGATATATTCTTGGAGGTCTAGGCATTGGGTTTTATGCTCCAAGTGAATAGCAAGAGGGTCATGGCATTTGGAAAGTAATTCATGCATAGAAGATGGACGGCTGTAGACAGAGATTGGGACACATGTAATAGGAAGAAAATAAACAAGCATTAAACCTGATCCCTTCTTTTCTCATGCTCTCTCCTCSGGAGAGCTGTGGGATGAGAAGTCCCTGTTTGGGAAGGAGTTGACTAGCACAGTGTAGTGTCTGTGTCTCTGTCCCATGAAATCCCAGGGRCTGCAGGGAGCGAAAGCCAGGGCAGGCCCTGTCCAGAGGAACCAGGTCTTACCCTTCCGGAACGCAGGAGGATTCCCTGCAGCAACAGTCACCTGCTTTTCTGGGGGAGATCAGCACTGGCTGTGAAGGCAGCTCCACAACCCATCCCACCAGATCCCTGGGACTGGGACCTCTGCCATCTCCTGGCTCTCAGGATCCCTACAACAACATCCTTTTCTCCTCTGGCCTCCTGTGAAAGAGGACCGACCATTCTCATTAACCAGCTCCAGGATTTAAAAACTGATTGAATTGTGCAATTTCACTCTACAATTTCATTCTACAATTTCACTCTAATTTCAGCTTTCCCCTCCTCCCCCCACCAATGCACAGACTCTCTCATGGATGTGCAGGTTCTCATAAGAGGTATTTTAAACCTAATGACAACAAACTAGATTTCCCAGTCTACTAGATTTTCCACAGAGGCCTGAGAAGGCACCTGCAGGTCTCCGTGGGCCTGCAGACCACAAAGCTCAGTTATGGTCAGTGGGTCTGTAATGTCTAAAGGAGGAGGACAGCATCGCCCCCAGCACTGCTGCACAGCACACTGCACGGCTGCTTTTTTATTTATTTATTTATTTATTTATTTAGAGCAAAGCCAACAAGCTCTGGCTCCAGGTCTGAAGGCTAATGGGGACTGTGCTCGTGAGTAAGCACTTTCCGGAGCGAGCACGCCGTGATCTCACCGAACGTGAAGCCCTTTGGGGAGCGATCTCTCCCGCTCCCTTCCAGGCCCTGCCCTCCCCATCCAGGACAGCACCTGGAGCAGCCCTCAGTGTCCCCAGGTTAGCCCCAGCCCAGCATCGCCTCGCGCCCTGCTTAGGGGTAACCCCTAGCTTCATTCCTTGCAAACTGTTTTCCAAAGCTCCCAGGCAGATTCCTGTTCCAAAGCTGTTCGCAAGGTTTGGTCTTATTTATTTGGTTTTCTTCCTGAGCATGAGCTCTCTGAAAACACTGAGGATGTACGCTGGAATCTAATAAACACTGAAAGTCAAGCTAGGYTATTTTGGGTTGATGCATCTACAGTGATATTTTGCACTGAAAATTTGATTAACAGTTCTTTTGATGATAAATAAATCACAATACAAACCAGCTCATCTTCCAAGAGCTGAGTTTGCTCGGAGCTGCTAATGGCAATAGACATTAATAAAATCCTATTTTAGTAAGTAAAGTAAGCTGAGGTAATTGGGAAAGTATGACAGCAGCCTATCTGCTGAGAGAAAYGATGCATTTTGCCTTTGCCACAGACAAATGTATATAGAATCACATATTTGATCTTGGTTATTTTCCTGTTTTCCTATTTATAAACCGCAGGTAGTAACACGTGCTTTATTTTGGAAAGCTCTTTGAAATCTGTGGGGGGGGAAAAAAGTAGGAGCACCAAGGATTAGATGTTTCCAATTCTGCAGGCTGCATTTGGCCAGAAGATATTTTGTTCTTTCAGAACAGCAAAGTCAGAGGCAAAATCACCCTCCCGGGATTTACATCTACTTTTTTTTTCCCCTCCTCTCAGCTTCTTGCATGCACATCTTACTCTTAAGGAATTTTCTCCTAATGTTTTCTCCTAATTTCACTCTTTACTGTTTTCTTTACCTTAGCACTTATCCTCCTATTGCCAGTGACTTAAAAAAATAGGGCAGGGAGATGTTGTCATTACACAAACAAGCGCAGGCGAGACCTCATAGCACGGGAGAGCGGCCGTTCCCCTTTGGCTCTCCTTCCTGCAGGATCTGCTCATCTATTCTCTGGATACCGTCCAGGCATCCACTGATAATATTAACAGCAGCAGCTTATCCCACGTCAGAGAATTCCAGCTCCAAACAGGCTGAAGGAAGCCTACAGGGACCAGGTGCCTGTGTTTGTGCCGGGCCCGGCGTGCGGGAGGGACATGCTGGCGACGCCGGGGCAGCYGCGGTGCCCACGCGCTGGGTGCTGCAGCTCTTTGGGTGCTGCAGCTCTTTGGGTGCAGCGCTGGGTGCTGCAGCTCTTTGGGTGCAGCGCTGGGTGCTGCAGCTCTTTGGGTGCTGCAGCTCTTTGGGTGCAGCGCTGGGTGCTGCAGCTCCCGGCGCCCGCGACGCAGCCGCCTGCGCCTCGGCATAACCTCATTATGCAGCGCGGAGAGCTTAGCGAGGTGCCGAAAGCCGATCACAGTAATTAAGCAATAAGGCAYGACAAGGAGTATTTTATGATGCAGCCCCAGAATGCCTAGGTGAGGTGTTAGGCACGCGGCCAATTGCTTTGAAGCACCTGGAAGAATTATTTTTATACGGAGCAGGGATAGGAGACGGGAAGGATGTGCTCTGCTTGCAGCTATGCAGTTATCATGTTCCAGCCACCTTGGTAAAAGCTCATCTGCTTAATAACCAGACTGGTATTGACTTAAGCAATAATGATCAGGGGTGAACACTGCTGACTGACAGGCAGAAACACATGGCCCAAGGCACAGCAATAGGCCATTACGCCCAGGGCAGAGCTCTGAAATGCAGCCGTGGGTGTTGTTATAATCTGAAACTCACTCCAAGCACTTCAGGTGTGGGTGATGGGCCAGAATGAGGCAGCATCCACAGGCAAGGATCTAGCACGTCTAGGGAATAAGGCGTCCACAACTCCCATTATTTAAATGAATGTTTAACACTCCTTTTGGGTTGCAATAATACAGAGACTGCCTTGAATGGCTTCTCGATATCTCAAAAAATACTGGGTATATTTGTATTCAATTGACCTACACTGTCTTATAAGGCTACATTTCCAGAAAATAGGATAGCATTAGTATGCACACTGTGTCCTTTTATATCCTCTGTGGTCACTTATTCCCTTCATTTTCAAATTTGTGGGCTCTTCAAGCCTTAGCTCAGACCYGATGACTAATGAAGTCACTGCAAAAGTCTCACTTGTTCCAGGAGGAGGAGAATTGAAGCCTGGTGGTTGGACAGCTTCACAACACGAGAGCTGTAACGTTGCTCTAAGTTCATACCACATGAGCTGCATATCTTGTCTTTGCTTCAGACTTAATGACATAAAGGCCTGTCCCTGCTTTGTTTGCTTACATTCCCTTCATGTGCACTGACAGGCCATTAGTTTAGGATTTCTCAACAATAACAATTTCAAATTTGAAGACCTCTATGAATACTAGGAAAAGTCATACTATCCCAGCACTATACTATCAAGCAAGATATCAAACCTGGATTTCCAGGTTTGGAAGCAAACTCTGTCCATTCCCCGTTGAGTCRAGAGAAGATGGCATGGTAGTTTAGAATAGAAGCTCCAAAGATGATGGGCCGGATCATCCCTTTCCCTCCACTCACGAGCTACATCATGAGCATCATAGCTGTCACCGCTGACCTCTCTAAGGCTGGTTGGCTTCTAAAGGTGGAGGATGGAGCCCTGCTGCAGTAAACAGACACTTCAGTAGTTCGGCGGACCCAATGCTGGATTTCATCTAAAAGTATATGTCCAAATGAAGTGGTAGCTAATAAACTGCCTGGAGACCAACCTCTTGATTTTGCTTCTTGACAAATCCATTGATCTCCAGGATGTCAGAGGGAAGAAAAAAAATCAATGTACATGTTACACTGAAAAAAAGCTCATTTATTTTGCCCTTCTCCTCTGCCTCCATGTGATGCTGGTAGATGGCATCCCGTGATCCCATCCTATAATGCTGATGTGAGTTGGTTCTCACCAGATAATCACTCACCTCTCCAGCAGCACACAGCTATTCTGTAGTTCCAGCCACTCTGCAGAAGGTTCATCTCCTGTCAGATAAGCTTCACTGGTATCAGAACCAAAGTGCCATGAAATAATGGAAGGTACCACAAACATGCAAACAATAATCCATCAGTGCATGAACACCACTTAGAACATCCCATGATTTCAGCTTGGACATGCTGAACTTCTAAAACCACAGTCTTGGAGAATGGAACAAAGTGCTAGCCCAGTCCCAGAAGAGGAGGAAACTGCCATGCATTTTTACTTTCTCAAWGRAAAAAAAAAAAATCTTGMTGGGACTTTGAAAACTTTCAGAGCTCTCCAGACCAGTATAATGAGCCAGTAAGTCACAGTACAAGATCATTAACACAGGCCATTATTAGGCTGCTCACAAGAATTCTCAAACAGTGTATTCAGAGGGAAAATTGATTTTCTTTTCCTAAGTAAGTCAAGGCCCTACAAGGAGTTGCACCTTGATCACCGGTGCTGCAACATACGATTTGTATTATCTTCTACAATTCAGAATTCAAAGTCATTAAATGTATTCAGACAAAACACTGGGGAGCAGTTATGAACAACCAATTAAAAATGAAGCTTATTTTCTTTAACATCTCTAAAATGTGAAAGATCTTATACAGAATTCAGGGTCAGGCAAATAGCTGCACCTCAGATCCTTCTCCTGTCCATGATGTTATCCCTTCAGAAAACTCATCCCACCGTTTTCCCGTTTTTATGCCAAGTGTGAACTACAGCACTGAGCATCCTTACGCAGGAGGCCTGACCTTGCTCAACAGTGACACGATTCCCTCTGCGAGTCTGTGGCTGGTGGAGAACGAGGCAGATTCTTTGAAACAATATATTGATCACGCCAACGGTGTGAACATAGCAGCACACAAGAGAACAGTAAAACCACTAGACACGAGGTCTAATTCCCCAATCAGCTTCTAAACGACAACTAGTCACAGCAAACTAGTCCCTTTTTACGCAGCCAGGCTCTGTCTTGACAGTTCCTCAGTTCCTTACCCCTCACCAGGGGTTTGCTGAGCTCCACACGAGGCCAAGCCAGAGCCCTTGGGGCAGCTCTTTGACAAGTCATCTTTGGAAAACTCCCAAGAGTTTGTGGGAAGGTGTCTTACCCCCCTGGCATTATTTTGCTTTATTATTTCACTCCTGAGAGTTCCACCGATTTGCACGCACATAGCTACAGATATTCCAAGGTCACAGCACACCATTAACACGTTTCAGGGCTCCACGTGCCAAGGCTAACCCAGGCCCACGCTCAGGCCGAGCGGGCTGCATTCARGCACCGCCACCACTGCTCCAGCAGCTGCATCCGAGTTTCCTGCACCCACCTCAGTTTGCTCTTGTGCGATGCCAGCCTGGCCACACGTGTGCAAACACGTATTCCCATTACAGACCATGAAAGCAGAAAAGTCCACATATCCAATATGCCCTGCTACCAACGCAGTGGTCTCCTACATTGCCTTCCTTAATCTTTTTTGGTCCTTGGAGTCTTGTAAATCTATTATAACAGCACTAAGCAGCATAAACACAGCATTAAGTAATCACTAATAGATATGCTACATAGATTCACAGTGGACAAATAAAACGTAGAGAATTTAAATCACTACTAATTACACAATACAATGCAACTGAAATGCAGAACAAATTTTGAACCCCCCAAGTCTGTGATATCTAACCTGCATCTCCCATACAGCAAGTACTTGGTGAGTGAATTTGGCCCTCGTTGTTTAAGGTTTCCTCTCTGTGTTTAGCTGTCTCCGTGGTCAGGGAGACCTGGGCGCTCAAGGGAGAAAACTCCATGTGCAGCACRGAGAGTTTCAGAGAAAATCTCTGCAGGATCACAGCTGTGAAGGAGATCCCAGAGACCAAGGAGGGAACAGCTTTGTGTCCATGGGGTTTGTGCACCTGCAGGGTTTGGGGATCTGGCTCAGCTGTCACCAAGATATTGCTAAGAACTTCACACTTAAACTCTACTGTCAGCAGAGATGATAAATACTCTGCTTGGTTCCTGCTGCCAGCAATGCTTTCCCTAGAATTTTACCGCTCAGTTTGATGGGGTTTTCTAAATCTAAACTGTATGACAAAATTTGTTCTTCTAGTAAAGTTATTTTAAGCAGCAAGATWCAGAGGGAACACTGCTGAAAAAAATGAATATGAATGTTAAGTGGAGATTCTTTCATTTCTTTTCATTGCTGCTAAACTTGCATATTCTTTGCTTCTATCAGCAATGGCTTCCTTTTATCTAAACTACTTTTTTCCCTAATTTTCCTTTTGAAACCTCCTAGGTCTTGCTTCCTAGCTTTTGTCAAAATCACACACACTAGAAGCTCTTTTAAATGAAAGCAGAGATGCCTGTAGCATGAATATGAGAGTTTGTGGGGTTCCAGGAGCAGGCACTTCTGTTTAAAAGGTATGAGATACTCTAAGMAGCAGGATGTGGGTCCTTGGCAGTGGCCGTCAGCTCCCTCTTTCTCCCAGCCCCGCTACGATGAGCCCAGCTTTGCCCACCATGTCCCGTGCAGCAGCTGGGGCTGCAACTTGCCCCAGCCGTGCAACTTGCTGGGGCTAAGGCAGCGTTACACACACAGCTGGGCAGGCTACAGCTGCTTGTGAGCTGGGGGGGCCACAGGAGCCACATTTTACTGCCTTCCTCTTAACAGATGGGCCAGCTAGGTGCTCCCAGTGCTGCCACCAGCCTTCCAAATATATTCATGGGCTTAATGGCATCTGCCACAACATCCACCCTGTCAAACTCAATTGAGACTTGTCAAYGACTCGCTGAAGCCCTAGCCCACAAGCTTCCTTTGACTTCCCTTGCTAGTTTTCTTGTATTATACTTGATTTAATGTCTAATAAAATTATTATATGACAGAAGGAAAAAAACATTAGTATAAAACATCAGTTTAATAGTTACCAATAACTAGGCTATAGTAAAAGTAGCTAAGTACTGCAGGTCGAGATTTGAGAGTCAACATACAGATTGGGGCAAAACAGCATTAACCCACCATTTAAATCAATCAAGTGAAAGAACGGATTCAAGCAGAGCTGACTGTCTGATCTAAAACACAAAGCAGGGTTTTAACTTTCTATTCCAGTCTCTGGAAAGTGCCATCCCTGGAGCTTTGCCTACAGCACAGAGAGGGGAGGGGAGCAAAGGAGAAGACAGACGCAGG